TGTACAAACAATTTTATATTAGTTTTTTTGAAAATAGAAGTTAATGTTTACAACTTTCACCTTGACTAACTCCATATGCTGATATCTTAATCTGAGCACCTACATCAAGGACAGCAATGTGTAACATAAAACCCATGGTTGAATACCTCTCATCCTGGTCTTCTAAGTGTGTACTGTTTCTAATGTTTTATCAATCATTATAATCTCTTTAAATTAAAAAAAGAAGGAAAAATAAGGTTTGTTGAAAGAAAGCATTAATATTCAATTATTTGTCCAATCTTGCATAAGTATATCTCTGAGCAATATATTTGACATTAAAAATAGATAATAGAACAGCCATTGTCAAGTAGCTATTCTTGTTTTGAAAATCTGTAACAATACCTATTTTTGCATGTTACTCTGTTTCTGCTTTCTTTCTATTTGTTTTTCTCTTCAAAATTAAATTAAATTACATTAAAACTTAAAAACAAATTTAATGATTGCCTTTTCCCCAAACCCTTGCTGAAGGTACACACGTGGGCACACAGGGATTCTCACCTTCACTAACCACAGCATCGGAGAGGAAGAGGATTTTCCAAGGCAGATAAGTGGAGCAAGGCAAGGTTCAGAAATCCTGGAAAGGGATTTAAATCAAAGTAGCAGAGATATAGAGATGAGCCTCATAAACCAAACTTTAGACAATTCTTTAAATTGAAAAATTATAATTTTTCATGTTTCTAAAAGAAACCTCAATATAGCAATTTATAGGCTTCATGGAATATAGTTCTCAGATATCAAGGAAAAGCTACAGCTCACATTCTGTGAAGATCAAAGCTTGCCATATATGTTGTGTACTTTTGTCAAGAAATACCCCTATCAGTCTTGATTAGTAATGTTTTATTAGGCGGAGGACACGGTGTGGTCTTGCATCTGAGAAACAATACAACCTAGAATGAAGTGGCAAAGGCAAGAAGCCTGATATAACTTGATAAGACCTGACTCAAAGTCTAGTACTGATTCTGGTGAGTGAACACTTAGTTTCCTACCTTTTCACTGGCCTAATGGCCTTGACCATCTAAGAGAGGTTAAGACAAAAGCTAAAGTTGCTTTCCCTCCCAGGAATTTGCCAAAGGGCCAGCCCATATCCCAGTTGTGTTTTTAAAATCATAATTTATATATTTGACTCACGTAGAATAATAAAAAGTAGAGTCATTATCATGCATATTTAATTTAAGTATCTAGTTTGACTACTTTTATTTTCCCTCCTATAGACTATTTATTTCACTAAATCAACTAAAACTAATCTGCTATTTATAGTCATGTAGACTTAATTTCAGGAGGATAATGTGGTTTTAATGTGTTAGTATCTTAATAGGGGTCAACAATACACTTGTTCCATATAATAGGGCTTGCTTAATGAGATTTTATTTTGACAATCATAAAAATAGAATATGGTACTTTTAATAGTTTGGCTATTATAAGTTAATTTGGAAGATTATGATACAATATGTGTTCACATTTCTAAAGGAAATTAGAATACTTGAAAATAATTATCTCTCTTTCACAGTTAGCACTAATAGCAGAACAGCCTTGTCTCATTTCAGGAACTTCCTATTCTGCTAATAAGATATATAGATGATACAATAAACACTAGCATTCAGTCTCTCAAGCCTAGTTTTAAACATCTGCTTCCTTCATTAGTTATTGTACATTCTTCTTAACATAGGAAAAATATAGTACTTGGCCATTCCAGAAATAGACCTATCAATCCAAAATAATCACCAGTGGAAGAATTACTCTACAGATAAGTAAAATTTATACTCTACAATTCAATAAACAGATTAGCCAATTTAGATCCTAGTGTAAATTGTGAGGACAGACCCTGTCATAAACTGTCCCCTTCTGGTCCCCAAGCACATCAAATCATAAGTTAACAAAGAGACTATATATTTGGAGATAAGATCTTTACTAAAATAATTAAAATTAAATTAAGTTACAGGATGGATCCTACCTCAGATAAGCTGAATGAATTTGTAAAAAGAGGAAGTGAGATCAGATGCCTCATCCACCTTCAGAACACACCCAGGAAAGGTCTTGTGGGGACACAGTGAAAGGCAGCCATCTGCACACCAAGAAGAGGGCCATCACCAGTAACTAAATTGGTTGGCACCTTAATCTTGGACTTCCTTAAATCTTGGCACCTTAATTGTAGACTAATATAGTCCCTGTAATGGGAAAATAAGATGTTCTTACATTAGGAAAGGGAAGATTGCCATATTAAAAGGTGCACGTACTTCTAGTGACTGCTCAAATTTGTTATTTGCTTGCTTTTTCTTCAGAAAGGTAAATCCCCTGCATGATATAACAATGAAAAACTATTTCAGTAGAAGAAATCTATTGTGGGTGTGGCGAGATGCTTGTGAAGTTTATTGTCATGGTTTGTGTCTGGATGTCCCCCACAAAGCCTTTCCAGAGCATCTTGTAAACTCTTGTTTTCATGTCCTCACCTCAGGAAACAGTTACAGTGTCTCCAACTTAACTCAGAGAGAGTCAGGGCCCCCTCTTTGTAAACATCCTCAGCTTGTGCAGGAAGTGGGCAAAGAGATAGTGTGAGTGCTACACCCACCCGCTGTGGGGTGGATAGCCTGCTTACAGTGTAAGCAAGGAAAAGAGGCTTGCTCCCCGCTTTTTGCTCTTGTTGTATGTGCTGTCTTCTTCCACCATGAAATGTTGCCTCTCTGCCATTCTGCCATGCTTTGGAGCAGCTGATTGTAGACTGAAACCCCTAAAAATGTGAGCTAAATGAATCTTTCCTTCCTTAATTTGGGTCATCAGACATTTTTGTCACAGCAATGACAGAGAAGCAATTCAGACAATTGTTCTTTTCAGGAACTTTTCCTGAACATCTGACCCCTAAATGAGCAGGTAACCCTGTGCTTATTCTCAGCATCAGCCTGACACTTATCCATGTTTCCATGACCTGCCTAGCATTGTTATCTGTGTCTCTCTGACTCCCCATACAATGTTTACAGTTAAGAAGTTTGTAAATTTTCAAATTGCACAAATTAGCAAAAGTAGTCAAAGTGTATCCAAATGAACATTAGTGTTGTCAGAGACGTGATGTCAGATTCATTTCATCTTCTCCAGTGGGATACAACAAAAATGTTCTAGAAAAAAAAGAATATTTTTTCTCCCAAGAGTCTTAGTAGGCAAAATAATTGAGAAAGAATCATTGCAGACTCACAACATAGAAATAGATGAAGTAACAAACATATGCTATCAATACCCATTCTAAAGCATACAATGTATGATGTGTGCTCTGGGGCACAGAGGCAGCCTGACCTTGCATATGGTGTATTAAGATCTCACAAAACAACACAACACAAAATCTATCAGCTCATATTTCCTCAATGCTAACTGTTCTCAGAACATCATACTTGGTGTTGTATATACCCTGCTTCATTGCTTTACTTTATTGCACTTTGCAGATACTTTATTTTTTTACAAATTGAAAGTTTGTGGTTGTCTTGCGTCCAGCAGGTCTATCAGCTTCATTGTTCCAGCATAATGTACTCATTTCATGTTTTGTGTCACATTTTGGCAATTGCTGAGCTATTTCTTTTTTTCTTCATGACATTATATCTGCCTTGTGATCTATGATCAGTAACCTTTGATGCTCCTGTTACATTCTTCTGGGGTATTATGAATCCTGCCCATATGAGATGGTGAACTTAACTAATAGATGGTATGTGTGTTCTGATGTTCATCAACCTGTTATTTCTGTTGCTCTCCTTTTTTCCACAGGGTTTTACATTTCCTGAAACACAATAATATAGAAAGTAGGTCAAGTAAGAACCCTACAGTGGCTCTAAGTGTTCAAGTGTAAGGAAGAGTTATGTGTCTCTCACTTTAAATCAAAAAGCTACAAATGATTAATCTTAGTGAAGAAGACAAGCCAAAACCCAAAGTGGACTGAAAAATAGATCTTGTATGCACAGTAGCCATCTTGCAAATGCAAGGAAAGATTCTTGACAGAATCAGAAATTCACTCCAGGGAACACATGAATGATAGACAAGAAAGCAAAAGATTTACTGCTGATAGGAGAAAGTCTTAGTAGTAAACCAGCTGCAACATTCCTTTAAGCCAAAGCCTCTTCCAGTGTCCAGAGCAAAGGCAGGTAAGGAAGCTTTGGAGAGGTTTGGGTATATCAGGGGTTTGTTCCTGAAGTTTAAGGAAAAACACCTTCTCAATAGCATGAGACTGCAGATGAAGCAGCATGGGTTGATGAAGAAAATGCAGCAAGCTATCCATAAGCACTGTATAGGTTAAACATTGAAGATGGCTGTGCTCAGCAACAGATGCAGACAAAATAGCCTTTAAGAAGATACTGCCTAGAACTTTCATAGCTGGGGAGGAGAAGTCAGTTTCTTGGTTCTTTTGTTAGGATCTAATGGAGCCAGTGACTTTAAATTGAAGAAAATATTAATTTAGCATTCTGAAAATCCTAGAATTGTGTTACATCTACTCTACTTATGCTCTATGAATGGAACAAAGTTTGGAAGACAATACATCTGCTTACCATGTAGCTTACTGAACATCCTATACCCTCCACTGAGATTTGTGCTTGTTTAAAATATTACAGTTCAGAGCCGGGGAGATGGCTCAGTGGAATAAGTGCTTCTCTGGCCAGCACAAGGGTCTGAATTCAATCCCCAGTTCTGCAAAAAAATAAAATAAAATATTACAGTTCATGGAAAGTATGTCTATAGGATATCATGTCTGCATCTTGTACAGCAATTAACCACTAGGAAGAATGTATGCAATGTGTTAATTATTGAAACTGTCCTACCAATTTGATTTGAAACTGTCTCAGTGCTATTTGTTTCTCAATAAAATTATGAAAAAATATAAAATATTACAGTTCTTGGAAAGTGTGTCTGATTATCTGAGAGTTCTTGCCAAGATGTACAATGGGAGTCCTGGTATGTTCATGCCTGCTCGTGTTGCATCCCTTCTATAGCCCATGAATCAAGCAGCAGTTTTGATTTTCCAGTCTTATTATTTAAGAAATACATTTTATAAGGCTATGGTTACCACAGACAGTGATTCCTCTGATGCATTTGGGCAAAGCAAATTTAAAACTTTCAGGACAGAATTCACCATTCCAGAAGCCATTAATAATATTTGTGATCTATGGAAGGAAGTCAAAATGCCAACATTAACGGGAGTTGGAAAGAAGCTGGTTTCAACCCTCATGAATGACTGAGGAGTTCAAGACTTCAGTGGAGAAAATAATTGATGTGCAGATATGGTAGAAGTAGAGAGTTAGCATTAGCAGGAAAGCCTGAAGATTGAACGAATTTCTACAATCTCATGATAAATTTCAACAGGTAAGTTCCTTTTCATGAATGAACAAAGAAATCAGTTACTTTAGATGAAATACATTGACTCCAACATTGAAAGATAGTCTGTTGTAGGTAATGTGCTGTCAATCAGGACCAAATGCTACAGAGAATTCTCTTATGAAATAAAAGTTCGATAGATGAGGTCAGCTTCACTGCTAACTTAAGAAATTGTCACACCTGCCCCAGCCTGCAACAGTGACCACCATGCTCAGACAGCAGCCATCTCTATACACAAAGGCAAGATCATCCACCAGCAAAAAATCACAACTTCATGAAGGCTCAGGTGATTGTTAGTGTTTTCTGAAATAAAGTGTTTTTAGTGAAAGTATACACATTTTTACATAGTGCTATTACATATTCAATAGACCCCACAATACAGTATGAATATAGCTTTTATGTGCACTGGGAAACCAACAAAATTGTGTGACTCATTTTACTGTGGCACTTTCTTTATTGCAGAAGTCTAAATCTGTACCCACTTTGTCTCCAAGGTATGGTGTATTCAGTTCTGCCAATTGCAGGGAACTAATAGTCCAATTAGAAAGAATCTACACCAAAATACAAATAGATGGCTACCACTGGCAAATAGCAATAATTCACTAGAAATTTGTTAAGTGGAGATGGTAATTTGGTAATTCTTTTCCTTTTTTTTGTTTTTTTGTTTTGTTTTGTTTTGTTTTGTTTTTGTTTTTGTTTTTGAGGAACCAGGGATTGAACTCAGGTCCTTGCGCTTGCCAGGGAAGTGCACATTCCACTGAGCCATCTCCCCGGCCCAAGATGGTAATTCTTAATTCAGTTTTTTGGGCTATCAGGAATGAGAACTAAAAGAAAAGCAAACTACTGAGGGGCTTTAGACAAATGAGGCTGATTCCCCATTGTACTACTTTTGAGATAATCTTGGACAGATAATTTACTTCTATTAATACAGTGTATCCATCTGTTAAAAGGAGTAATATTAGTGCTTTCATATGGCTGTTTACAGAATGAAGTAGAATGGTTGCTCTATGTAAAAATCTTTAACATGGTGCCGGGGAGGTAGTAAGCACTCAATAAATGTGATTTATTCTATCATATGCTTTTAAAATGCCCAATACATGAACTGATGTCTGTAGTTCTCAAACAAATGTTATTTTTCACTGTTTTTACCACATATCAAAGAAAGTTCATTAATAATAAATAATATATATGAAAACTGCATATTTAGAAATAGATGAAAAAGAGGAGAGTGAAGGAAGGGGACTACCATCTTACCTAATGTAAGAAGTAACAAATGTACCCAAAGTCAAAAGGATGGCAGCATTGTTCCCAAAGGACGCAGCTCTGAAGAGAACACTGGAATGTCAGATTCATCAGAAAATCCCCTTGGTGGCAACCTCAGAATACTTCCCACTGCCTCACCACTTCTACCAGGTCTATCCAGCATATTTTACTGCAGTGACTATGCTCCCTGCTAACTGGTTTCTCAGCCTCAACCATTTTCTTCTAGGTGTTCCTTTCCCAGATAGCGAGAGTAATTTTCTTAAGCTGTAAATCACATTATCTTGGTCCATTCAGATTACCATAACAAAAATAAACAACAAAGATGTATTATTTGCAGTTCTGGAGGTGGCAAAGGCCAAGAGGAAGACACCTTCAAGTTCAGGGTCAGGTGAGTGCCTGTTCCTCAGCCAGAGTCCCTTTTCTGAAGCCTCCTACAGCAGAAGACACAGCTCTCATGAGCTTCTTCCAGACAGGTATGAATCCCATTTCTGGGCTGCAGCCCTTCTTAGAAGGCTGTACTTCTGAATGCCACCACATTGGGAAGCAGATTTCAACATGAATTTCAAAGGGACTCACAGATGACAGTAAGATCATGTTACTTCCGTAATTAAAACCACAGGGGTGCCTAATTTCACTCAATATAAGATGCAAATCTGAAATATCCTATAAGCTAAGCACCCCTGCATCATGAACCCTTTCTTTGCTATCTGACTGCTAAAGAGATCAGGGAACCCTTTGCTTCAAGATCCTTGCACTGACCATTCCCTCTACCTGGATCTCTTGCTCCACAGACAGAACTCTGATTCTCTTCAAGCCTAAAGCTCAAAACTCAAATTATCAATGATACTCTAGAAACAAGCCTACAGACCATCACAGCACCACTGTTACCATTTCCTTGTTCCATCTTCTTCTGATTTTTTTCCATTTGTCATGTTACATTTTTGGACTGCCAAGACAAAATACCTGACACTCAAAATTAGAGCAAAAGTTGATTTTAGTTCACAGTTTGTAGAGATTTCAGTCCATAGTTGGCTGGTTCCAAGACAGGACAGCAAGCAGCAGAAGCAGCCCTTCTTTCCTTTCTATTCTATCTAGGCTACCCACCTCTTGGGTGGTGCCCTGCAGAGCTATGATAATTACAATCAGTGGACTAATTGACTAATCACCTAAGCTCAGCATCAGACACCCTAGATCCAGTGACCTCTAAAATGCCCATCTGTGATCACATGAGGTTTGGGGGAACAATTAGATATATGGAAACAACATCATAGAATGTGGTGCTCATTTAATTTACTTTATCATTATAATTATTGCTCATTTTGTATTCTCACAGTAGAATGTAACAATCTACATTCACAAAGATTTGTCTAATTTTTAAATGATTTTTTTCATAAGACTTTTTAAAAAGTTTTGGGAAATAATTGGCATTAAAAATTATTTGCTGAATGAATGAACAATGTGATATACATACTATTAAAACAAATACCACTTAATAATTATAACATATCAATGATTATATATAAATATAATATGCTAGAATAGAATTACCAATATTACCACTATTTTAATCTATTAAGCATTATAATGTATTGCTAATTTAACATAAACAGCTTAGACTCTGACACATCATGGGTTTCGTGTGCAAGACACACAATCTTGAAGTTGGTTAACTGAGTTCATCTTCCAGAGAGAATTGGTCCCTCAGCAGGCCTGGCTGCAGCATAAGGATATCAGCACTTGTGGAAACAAAGTAAGAAAAAGGATCTGAGTGGCTCTCACCATGGAGATGATCAATAAGACTACTTAGAGATGCAGTGGTTCTATCCTAATGGTCAAACCAAAGTTGTAGATTGGAATTTTGTGTGTTACTTAGCTCTAACTCATTTAGCAAGTTTGAAAAGCAAATCCATTGGTCTGTCAGATTGGATTACATGATGGATCATTAATCACTGGGCTTAAAATTTCCAGAGACCAACACATAGAAAGACTGCATTTACTGTGTGTCAAGGAAAGCAGGACTCACAAAGTCAACAAAGCTGTCACCATGATAGTGACAATGAGTGACTTCAGAGAGAAACCCAGAGGATGGATCTGATCCTGGCTGCTAGATTGCCCAGTACTGGAGGAATTTCCCTCCTTTTATATCTCTCCCAGCCCATGAGCTTCTGACCCAAACACTCAGTCCCTTTATACTGATATGCAAAGTACCTCCCATTTCTTTCCCAGTCACACTATTTATCGTTTTCAGTTTTTACCCAACGTGTAGAATACATATTTTTCAAAACAAGGTCCTATTCTCAACTCTTTGTTTCAATGATCCACAGGGGAAAGCAGGTGTTTCTTCATGTAATCAGACATAAAATGTGGATTTTTTTTTTCAGCAGTTGCTGACATATGTCTTTTTTTCCTTTAATTTTAAAGAGAAAAAAACAATAAAAACAGTACATAATTTCAAAAGAAAATGAAAGGAAATTAACAATGGTTATTACATTATATAATGTTATCTTCAAATTACAGGCTCAGATTACCAGATATAAGCAGGAAAATTGATCAAACAATGTAAGCGCTGACTGCTCCTTTCAATGAAAAAACAGAAATTAGTAGTACAATTATCTTAGCATTCCCTTCCTACTTTTTCCATTTAACCAGTCTGTATTCTCTCTTTTTCCTTTTTTAAATTTATTAATAATTTTATAGAGAAACAAAAAACAATGAGACACTTTCAAAACCGATTAGTAGGAGATTTCCAAAATTAATACACTGCATATGGTTATTTTCTTAGTAGTTATTCATAGTACAAGATGCTGATATGATATCCTGTGCAAACACTATTAGTATAAACTTTTCTTCTCATCCAATTAAGAGAAAGTAGCTGTACATCTATTCTAACTATTTTGTATATACACATACAAAATGGTCATTCATTTGTATCCCCATTGTTTGTTTAGTTATATCAGAGAAGGGTATTCCTTTGTCATTTAAATATTGTAGGCTGGTGAATTCAGCAAAATATTCAAACATAGTCCAGTATTCCATAATAGTAGTGGGTTATCTGCAGGACTGGCTAAGTCAGAAGTTGCTAACCTGAGCACTTTACAGCCCAGTTTTTTTTTTTTTTTCTTTCTACTGGGTAGTTAAGACAAAGATAAAGGGAAAAACTATATAACAAGAAATGTAACTTTTGTATCTGATAGTCAGTCAAGTACCATCAGGATTTATCCTGAAATCCTGTACTGCAGTTTGTAGATCCTTTGTCAGTGTCAGCCATGTGGATGAGTCACGGCCATTGCTTGACCAATTTGCTCTCTGTGAAAGACTGAGAGACTGTTTTCTTTCCATGTAACTCTCCTTAGGCACAAACTACATCATTGACTGCATTCCTCTGTGGCCCCATAATTTCCTTGCTCAGAAAATTTGGGACACAACTGAGTTACTGATATTACAGAATAGGTTCTCCTATGTCCTGAGTCTTCACTGACCTAGAAAAGCTAAGACCAAAATGTTGGTTGTCCTTGCAGCACTTCTTTTTCTCTAATATTTCATCTGCAAACTGAGGTCCCTCCAGAAGAAAAGCCTATTATTACTTTGCAACTTATGCAGT